GGCATGCTCTCCCTACAAGGACACTGTCCAAGGACACTGTGCTCTCAGCTCTCCTCGGAGCAGCTCTTGCCACCTGCTGGCCGCCTTGACTGAACAGAGAGTGGGCCTCAAACGCTCCCTGGGGGGTGCGGCCTGGGAGTCCTCTGCTTGCCTTGCTGCAAGGACTGGAAAGAAGACCAGGTTTTCTTTTTCTTTCATTTTCACCACTTAGTCACAGAAGACAGACATGAGTGTAATTCGTTACTAAGTCCATGTGGCATAAAACCACTTCTGGGGAGCCTTGGGTTAAATCTGTGGAACAGAAACACATCAGGAAATGTATTAAGAATCGGTGAGGTGCCCTCCTTTCCTCAGAGGAGGGTTACCTTCTTAACCCTGCTTTCCTTCTTTTTTTCACTTTAATAGAACACCGGAATTTAGAACAAAGCCATTTATTTTCCAAACTGAATTTTCCTCTGCATCTGCATATGCATAAGGGCACGCACTCATGCACACATGCACACATGCATGGGCACTCTGCCTTTTATCTCCTTGTAAAACACTTCCTCTGCCCCAACAAGTCACCACAGGGAATGGGACCAACATTCTGATCTGTCCTGAAATGTCCTTGACCTTACAGGTACACCTGCGATCCCCATCCCCTTCTTCCTTACGTTCTAAAGCCGGTGGTTCTTGAACTCTAAAGGCAAATGAAGCAAAAACCTAAAGGCAGCTAGTTAAAGACAGAAACAAGGAAATCAGCTCTACCTGTTTGCAATTCAGCTGGCAAAACAGTGCACATAATGCCCCAACCTGCTCTGAACATGGTGTTGCCCAAGAACACACCTGCGTGCTTTGGAGCACCTGGTCCACTGGGTAAATGTGCACGCCAGCCCTCCAGCACGCAGCAGGGCTGAATGGAGCTGGTCTCCTGTACTTATTTGCTGATCAAAATTTAAGAGTGGGAAGTGGCTGCTGTGTGCCCGTGGGAGTCAGTTAGCTCTATGACCCACTTGTTTGACATAGTCTTTCGGGGCTTAGTATGGCAGAGGCAAAAGTTAGCAAACAAACTGACCTGGGTATGTGAGCAAAGAGGTGCTGATCCTAGAGCCCCAGAATCTAGCTCACAAAGTCTCAGTCTTACCAGCATGGTCTTCATGCTGCCCGCTAGCAAGAACAGACTAAATCTATGGTTTAATTGTAACTTTTTAAAATGCTGTATCTTAAAAAAAAAAAAAAGCCTAAGTCTTATCAGAAGACTCTATGTGTTAGGCAGCCAGGATAGGGAGACAGGGGGTTTGTCCCTCCCATGACTGCACAGGCCCCCATAAGCCATAAAGGAGGTTGGGAAGGAATCAAGCGAGCTTTAGCCACCCATAAAGACTTTAACTGGACATGCTCCAATTCAGCCTCCGCCCACCCCCTCCAGTCAGATGGGCATCACACCTGGGCTGCCCAAGCTAGGCCCAGGCTCACGACCCCACCCAGGTGGGCTTAATTCAGCCAATGGGGTCAACCAGTACCTTCCACCACGCCTCCCCAGCCAGAGGTTTAAACTACCCTGGCCACAGGAAGACGGGCTCTTTTTCTTTTGACCCCACTTTGCAATCCGGCTGTGCCGCTGCCTCTCTGGCTTCCGGTCACGGCCACCACGTGTGGGCACGCAGTCCCACGAGGCTGCTTTTGTGGGCATTCGGTTGTGGACCCCAGCACCGCTTCCGGGAAATAGCGTGTACTCTTTTGAGACAGTAAAACCTGAAACGGCTCCCATCCTTTATGAAAACCCGCTTGGACCACAAACCAGGCGTCGCCGTGCCTTCTTTCTCCTGT